ATAATAATCTGTGACAATAAATATTTTAACATCCTACATCTTCAATAATAATAGATTCTTTCTCCTTTAAGTTAGCTAGATCATTAACTATTTTTTGATAAGTTTCTTCAGAAATTAGAACCACTTTAGATATGTTCAAATTTTTAGTATTATTAGTGCTATCATTTAAGAAAATAGTTGCTGAGCGTGATATATCATTGAAAATAATTTCTATAACTCCTCCCGTAGTAGCTTTTCATATATAATAAATCGAATTTTTAATAATTTTCTTTTTATTTTCTATAATGTCTATTATTATTTTAGCTGTGTGATAGTAAAAGAGAAGAAGGTGAAAAATTAATATGGTATCAAAGTATTAATATATCATTTAACAATGTATTATAATCGCATGAGTTCTTTGATTAAAAATTTAATAATGGTGATGTAAATGGTGATACAACTGATGATTTGATACTATAGTTTCTTAAGTTATGTTGATTAATATCTTAGTTATTGATTAAAAGCCAATATAAAAAATAACCTATTGCTACAGTATTATGTAATCATAATGATTTTTAAAATTAAAAAATAACTCTAATACTATTCTAAATTGACTTATGCATTAAAATTTCTTTGAAAAATTTGTTAATTTTTCTTTTTTTATAGCATCTAGCATATATATATTGTAAGTGAGAATGGAATTTCTGTAGATTTAGAATTATTCTATATAACCTATATCCTCTACCCTAACCCTAACACGAACTCTAACCTAATCTTAACCTATTCTGGTCATTAAATTTGAAATTTTAATTAAAAATTCTGTATCGGTATCCACTTAAATTCTGTTCCACTTATATATATAGAATTATAATGTTTACATACAAATTTGGATATGATATATTTTGTAATTAACAAATTCATAAATATCTTGGTATAACTATAAATACCTCTTATTCGTAAGGATAATAATGTATTCACGTTTACATATAGAGAACTTTTATATGCCTATAGTTTATAGGTATCTAATGTTTAACATTTTGCCAGCACCAATATTCGTTACTAGTATATTAAGCAAAGAAATAAA